TTTTTTTTCCATCAGCTGAGCCGAATCCTCGAAGTGTTATAAGATAACAAAACTATCTTCTATTGTGCAATGCTCGCCCACACTGAAATATAGTAAGGAATCAAAATGAAAAACAAAAACAGCGTGTTTTGGAGACCTTTGTTTCGTGTGTCGTTTGGCTACTTTGTTCTCTCGAGCTCTTCCATATTCTTAAAATTCTTCGGATAATAAATTTCTGTATCCTTTATGTGTGATTTCGGCGGTTTCTATGCGGAAGCATCTGCACCTGAATTTGGCGAGCTACTGAATGCCAAGGGACTTCCAGAAGTTTACATCACAAGGGTCAATAAACCATGCCTGATGCAGCCGATGAAACTACACGACGCTCGTACGCCTTCCAATGGCACTCGGAATCATCAGCTGGCCATTTGCACACAGCCTCTCTTCTACTACGTCGACTGGACGCTTATAGCCCAATTCTTTGAGGTTTACTTCTATGTGTTTTTGCATCAATAAGAAACCACAAACTGGGGTGGTTATGTCTGCGTGCAGACGTTTCTGTCTGACTGCTGAGATACTTCATGAGACAGTTCAACGCCAAATCCTCCAAAAGTTAGGAAGCTGAAATCTAGAAATGAAGCACAAAATCGAAATTTCAGGTAATTTTTGTAATTTTTTACGCCTTAGCGTTGTAAATGAAAAAAGTTTGAAAGCGATTTACGTTTAACTTTCTGTGTTGTCTTCTACCAAATCAGGATGGTTTTTAAATCCGTGTTTTAGCTAGAGAGCCAAAAAGTTCAGGAAATCAGTTTGCCAGTTAGATGAAACATGCAGCCTGGAATAAATTTCTAAACGGCATAAGTCTTAACCTCAGACCTCAGGTTCGAGTACTTGCTAAACTTCTAAGTAAATAATTATAAGCGTCACATGCTTGAAATTGCGAGTGCTAGTCTTTCAAGCAGTTCGAAGAGCTTCAGTTTTCGCTAGTTCTTGACTTAAGACCTGGATAAGACTTCCGCTCGTTTTGTAATTTCAGTGCGGGGTTTTAGTGATCAAAATAAGTTTGATTAAATAACGTAAGGTTTGCAATCAAACTTTGGTTTCTTCTGCTTTTTTATCATCAGTCCAAGTGTGAATCAAAATTCAGAATCTCAAAGCGAGATATTGTGTAAATGTAAAATTTTAGCATTTTTCATGAGCTGAAATAAGTCCGAAAAGGTGGGACATATGCGTCAAACGCCGTAGGTACCAACTGAAAGTTCGCAACTTAGGATCGAAGGACCTAGTATGATTGTACATGGCTTAAAGAAGCGTTTCAGTAAAATCATTAAAATATAAAATGCCCATTGTTTTTATTTTTTTTGATCTACGAATAATTAAATTACAGTCCTGTTAGTTTAAATATTTTTGAAGTCGTAGAAGTAAGAAAAGGCTAAAAAACGCATTTGGAAGCTAAGGTATTCTGTCATTCGCGCTAATTATTCTGCATCTTTTTAGATGTGGATTCTCCAGGGAGTGACCAAATTCTATATTTATTTCCAATCGTTGGCGTTCGAAACTGATGCACTGTTACGCGTCTACGAAAACGAAGCTACCATTGACGTTGAGCGCATTCCGTGGTCTGCCTTTCCAACGGATGGCGATTTTCTTTCTAAACCTGAAAACGACCCAAATAACCGAGTTTGCAGATTGGAAGTAAGTTGTTTTAATGTTAAAGTGAGTTGGATACACACTAGGAATTTATAATCCCATGTTTTTCTCATGATCGGTTTCTGCTGACGTCCTAGTCGAGAGGGTACTCCGCTGTGATCTTGAAATAGCAGCGCCACGATCAATGTAAAGCAGTGATATCTTGAAATGGCTAAAGCCTTGATAAGTAAGAATCTTGCCCGCTCAGTATATGAATTACAACTCCTATGACTACTATCTGATATTCATTACTGATAAAGCTAGAAAACCTGCAAAGCGAAATATGTTAGTTGTGTCGCAAGATTGTTTGGAAGTTAATGACCATTTGAAAGCATCCATGCATTAAGAATTCGGGTCAAAAGTCAAAATCTCCTCCTCGTTTTCTCTTTGTAAAAGACGTGGGATTCGGATATTTGTAAAAAAAAATTACTCAACTTGCGTAGCTTTTAAGCAAATCAAATTTGCAGGTGCTATCAGCAATAAATGACTGTGTGCTGAGAAGCCGTGGCCATACCAAATTTGTAATTTCGGTTGATTTGGATGAAATTATCATCCCACACCAAAAATCTTCGCTGCTGCACCTACTGAACGAAATGAGCTTCAAAAATAAGCATGCCGCCGCCTTCCAATTCCTTAACCGATTTGTCACCTACGAAGTAAGGTAAATTGATATTAATGAAAAGTGCAAATCTGACCGAACCGCCATATGCCCAACCCGCAATAGTACAACGTGAGAAATGTCTGGACTGGAAATTAGTAAAAACGGTTTAGCCCAGCAGGCCTCGGCCGCGAATATGCATTGAAGTCTTACTGGCCTGGCTTAGGGCTGAAGAACTGTTTCGAAAAAAGGTCAAAATGAGAGAGAAAGGAAGAGATCATTGAGAATTCTGGACTGTAAGTCTGAGAAAATGTGGCACGAAACCTTTTGTTGTGTTGTGGAGTCATGCAAAAAAAATTACTAGTTTTAGCTTTCTTATGCAGAAGCAGTGGAGGACACTCATTGAAGCGGAGTAAGAGACTCTGTGTTCCACTGATTCTTAAGGTATCACTCCCTGAAGGCTCGAGTACAGCACAGTCGTCCCGTTGAGAACACAGTTTCTCAACCTTCCTGGCGGCCTGAAGGTATCGCCTATACGAAAAAGAAACCAATGCTAGTACGGCCTTAAACTGATACTACTGCGTAATACCAGTCTCGGCAGTTCCGTGCTAGAGAGAAGCATCCTAGGGACAAGAACTTGGTGCAGTTGTGTTCTACTCATGTCTGCATTGCAAAGAAATTTAGAACCCAGACGAAAGCTTAGAGATTCTCGATGAAGAGGTCTTGGCAATATAAGCTGTAGCGTTTACATTAAATTTTGAATTCATCTTGAATTTTTATGGTCCATTAAGGCCCATTTCCAGACCTATTTGCGTGATGAAAAACTTCTAAAAAAAGTAACTTTCATTACAGTATTGAACTGCAACTGCAAGACGGCAGTATTTTTAATCATCAGTTATAAAACTACTTTTCAAGTACCTTCGCCAAAAAATAAAAGTACCTTTGTTTCAAAATTTTCTGGCAATTTTCTAAAAAAAACCTAGTTATTGTTGAGCTCAGTCATATGCTGTCAAAATTATATTCTTACCTCATTGCTTTGCAAATATAGGAAATTCCTCAAAACTTGTAGCTTTTTTTGAACTACAGTTGTCGTTATGAAAATCACCATCAGGGTTATAACTCGGCCAGATACTATCAAAAATGCTACAACCCTGAGTGAAGGGTTCTAGAAGCCAATGAAAAGCTGCCATACTCGAGTATTAGCTGACAAGGACGCTACTGTTTATGGATACTATTTACCTATAGCTGCTTTCCACAGATGCGTAATGAAAAAACTTTTTGGAAACAACTGTTGATTGGAAAATTCTTAAAAATGGATTCCAAAATGCAGGAGATTTCCGACACTATTTTAGAATCAGTGGGACAATATCAGCAGACCTGAAGAGTTCAACTTCAATGGTCTGAGAAATGCTTTAGTGCAAGAATATATTTTCCCACCTGACGTTCGCAGCAAAGTAAGAAATATCTTGCGTACTCTAGCTCTTTTTTGCTTTTACTATGAATATCAAGATCGCCTGGGCTATCACTGCGAATTTTCCGTGTTAATGATGCTGCCACACGTCAGGCTGCATGCTGCCAGGAGCAAGGAGCCTGGCGTAGCTGCCTTGATTTACCAATAGGGAGTGTCTTCTGGATTTGTGAACAAATCATTTTAATGATAAGTCGAAAATAAACAATCAGCGGTTATTCATTTACAGGGATGCTGTGAAAAATAACGGAAAATCGTCGCAAGATTTCTATAACTCCAATACTTCCAGATGAGGCTGAGGAGTAAATTTTCTGAGAAAAACCTTTCCTCAAGAGCGCCTTCAGCAAAGTTTTTGAAAGGACTATTGGGAAAAAAACTTTTCTATTTTTCGATCTTTTAGTAGCAAAAATTATTAATAATATAACTTATGAATAACACAACGTTCTCAAAGTGTTGGATCGGAAGGATCTTGCCAGCCTTTTCAATACCTTGTACTGAAGGCAGTAACGTACAGATACGAAATGCGGCCGCAACGAAAATTTAAAAGCTAGCGCTGGTTGCGTCGGAGAGATCGATAAATGAAAGATGCTTGGCGTATCTCTTCGTGACCATACGAACAGTTAGATTCTCTTTCGCATGTGCGTCACGAACAGTATGTAATTGAGGCGACGCGAGAAGATATGGCGACGCGTACTGGAGGGCCCCGTACTATCATGCGTTTTTGCAGTGTTTCGTGCTCTAATAAGATTTCTCGAAATTCCGCTAGCTAGAAACCCCTTATACATACTGATCCCCGAATTTCGGGAACTTAATTATCCATGCTATAGTTGGACAGGGAACATTCCCTTGAAATCCCAGGT